TATATATATATATATATATATATATATATATATATATATATATATATATATATATATATATATATATATATATATATATATATATAGATATATATATATATATATATATATATATATATATATATATATATATATATATATATATATATATATATATATGTATCTATATATATATATATATATATATATACATATATAGATATATATATATATATATATATATATATATATATATATATATATATATATATATATATATACACATATATATATATATATAGATATATATATAGATCTAGACATATAGATACATACATATATAGATATATATATACCCCTATATACTCACCTATCGACAGCTAGAGGTACATCTGGGCACCCGTGTGGCCCTGTACGTATATATTCTTCACCTTACCCTGCCGTGCCACAGCCTCAGTAATGACGGCAATAGACCTTGACTCGCAAAGGCTCGACGCCAGCACCAGCGTCTCGAGGTTCGGGAACGTCTCAATGAATTTGACAAGCAGCTTCGCCTGGTCACGCTCCGGCAGGCGTCGTGGGGCCCCGGCCGGGGACTGCACGACGTCCGGCAGGGAGAGGTTGGTGTCGAGATTGAAGTCGAAGAGACCCAGTGTCCGGACGCTCTCGACACCGTACAGCCAGGGGATCTGCTCGAGAAACGCTTGCGCCGGTTGGTCGACACTGCCCCAGTCGGGGGACCTGTGGTCGGGGAAACAGAGGGCCAGCTCGCGGAGGGAGCCGGACTTGATGGCTGGTTCGAGAATTGCCTGTAGTGCTGGTGTGATGGAGACGCCTTCGACCCAGAAGCGCTGCAGGTGGTCGTGGCCAGCGTCGGGGTCATCTGAAGGTAGATTGTTTCCGTAGTCGATCAGCAAGTTGTGAGGGAACGGCACGGGCTGCATCGCTGGCGCCAGAGTCCGGGATTCAAAGGCTCGCAACGAGCGCAACGGCGGGAAGATGCGGCGGTTCGTGGGATCGGTGATGGGGCCAAGTATTTGATGTTCTACGACGACGGCTTCGAGCTTCGACCACATGCTCCAGAACTCACCTTCATCAAATTCCTGATTATTACGCAGAAGATAGTTGGTGAGATGAAGCTGCTGGAGGTTAGGAGTGGATTTCGCAACTCCAATCTGGGCAACGGTCAGTTGTTGAAAGGTCTCAAGTTCGTATGGCTAGGTGAGGAATTACCGCATGCATCTCTCTTGGGATGCTGTGCTTCTCATGCTCTCCGGAGAGTCGCAAGTATTTCAGTCTGCTGAGAAGAGGTATGATCCTGAGATACGGGGCTTGATCTATCCAGAGGGATTCGAGGGTGTCTTTCGCGTGCTCCAATATCGCGACGACCAAGTTCAACTCTCTCCTGTTCTCGAGCGCAGAAAAGGAAAGCCTCAGAGATACAAGCCGGTTCAGGATGCGATGGTCACTCGGCAGTTCTGGTATAAAGCTGTGGACGAGGCCAAGCTCCAAATGCTCCGCAGGCAGTGCAGACTGGAGCAGAGCATGCCATTTCGCCTGGGTGAGCTGCAAGGCTCTCGCACGGGGAATGATGAGAGCTCGTGCACCACTGGCAGACCGCTTGGATATCTTGCGAAGGAACTCCAGAGACGGTGACGCAGGTAGATTGCTGGGGAAGCTGATACGCCTCCAGAGACGAGTGCGAGATGCGAAGAAGTGGTCCCACCTCTTGCAAACGCCATGAACCCAGCTATATAGCATCAGACTTCAAACTCTTCATCGGGGTCGCGCGATGACCGAGGCCAAACGCACCAGCGCCGAAACGTACCAGAGCTCGCGGAAGTCGAGATGGGAGAATATATTGTCGACAATCTCCAAGGGCAGTTCCATGGGATCCTTGCGCCCATATCGTTTCTGCAAGGGCGCTCGAGCATCAAACAATTGCTACCATGTGTAAGTCTTGTATGTAGTCAAGGGGTGTGCGGCGAACAAGACGTACCTTGAGTTTTGCGCTACCCCCATGTCCCTCCTTGGCTCCAACCTCGATGCCGGCGTTCCAAAAGGCCAACGCGAGCTCGGGCTCCTTCTCTAGCCTATACACCTTGCCCATGCGAAGATAGCCCTGGCCGTCGTCAGCAAGTTCGGCACTGAGAACGATCTGGCGGGGAGACTATGCAACCTCGAGTGACCTCGGCGCTATCTCCAGCAACCATGCAGCATCCTTCTTGGCCAGATCAAGCCGGCCCATTTTCTCAAAGACGGCGGCGCGATAGTCCAAAGCCTGGATGTGTGAAGGCTCGTGGCACTTTTTGTATTTTCTGGAAGCATCGCAGGAGCATTTGTGCATGGCCTCCTTGAAGATAGATGCACCATCTTGGGCGACCTTCTCAAAGTCCTTACATTTGCATCGTTCACGCCGGCCTCCCCGGTTGCAGGAACAAGCGTTGGCAACAAGGGTGAAGTGCTCGATTGCCGTCTTGTACTGGCCCTCTGCATAGGCCTGACGCCCCCTGGGAATGGATGCTTCTCCCGATGACACGCGAGGAGGTCGTGGTGTTGTCATTACTGTATGTGCGTCCAGCTGCACGAAAATCGATGGTCGTGTCGCGTCACGGCGCGGCGCGGCGGCAGGTGAGAGGCAGGTGAAGATGGCATGATTAATGCGTAGTGCACGGTCAAGACATGGTTTCAGCACTGTATGGGTCCACGGCCTGACGTTCTTGCCAACAACAGTTCTTGCCAACAACAGCACTTGAATGACAACAACGACTGACTCCCCCCCTTCCTTCTCCTTCTACACCAAGCCATCCATCCACATCAACTTCATCAAATTCAGCCATCTACCAGCTTCAATCTCCCAATTATCCCTTCAAATGCCCCGCCTCCGATTGTCTTCAGTGGCGCCTCCACAGCCAGCCGCTCCCATACGAAGCTCGTCCCAATGATGCCCAGGATGGTCTTGAACTCCATCGGCTCTCCTTCACCCACGTCCAGGAAGGTACGGTCTCCCTTGGCAATCAGGCTCGCATTCGTCCATTCGCCTACGGGGAACGTGTAGTTCAGCGCGTACAAGTTGTCTCCCGACCACGCCATGACCGAGTCGACTGTGCCATTCCCGTGCCACAGTGCACTGTCACCTCCAGTGAAGATCGGACCTTTGGCATCAGACGTCGGCTTGATCGAGAACGACATGGTGTAATTGCGGCCCTTGGAAGACAGAGGCGTCGTGACCTCGCATCCCTCTTGCAAGATAACACCCTCGTCGGTGCTGCCGCAGCTCGAAGCCGCATGGTACCTGTTCTCCGACACATCCTTGAACTTGCCCTGGCATCCGCGTCCCGTCGCAAAGTCGTAATCTAGGATCGTCGGCCCCTGGCTTGGGATTCTTCGATCCAGGTTCTGATCCGGCACGAAGGGCTGCAGCGCCTCGAACAAGCCCGCATACTCCTCCTCCGTTAGCTCGCCACCCCATTGCTTGTCAGCGAGAGCAGGCAACCCGTTCCTCCAGGCCCAGTACGCCTCCAGCACGGTCGTGCCGTTGGGGCCGTAGTCAAACCACTGCGGTGCAATGTGGCCCTCGATCATCGCCTCCTCTTGGGCCGCATTGTTTGTCGCGTTTGTTGAGTCGAAAATGTATGGTCTAAACAGCTTCGCGCCCGGCGCGCCTCGGGAGATATACGTCTGATTCAGCTGCTGGCGTACCACTGAGACCATTTGCCGACGATGTAGATCGCATCAGCCGAGTTGACCACAGTGTAGTTGTTGCCAGCCAGTCGAAAACCGGCTTGCCCTCCCAAGGCGCCCAATGCTGGACGGAGACATCCGTATCAACATGGCCGCCGTCGGACGGCGGGAACGTGCCCCAGAGACGGACCTGCTTTCCCGATTTTTCCTTGATAAACTTATTTAGCTCGTTGCAGAAGAGCGTATACTCATCAGCGAGCTCGCTGTGCATCGTCAGTCTCACTCTCCGAAATCAAGAGGTCAACAGCCGTGACTCACTCTTCCGTGAGCGAGTTGTCGCGGTACTCATCAGCACCGATATGCACTACTTTGCTCTGGAACCACGGCAAGAAGACTTCCCACACCTCTTTCATCACAGGAATGGTATCTGGGTGCGACACATTCAGCAGACTGTAGTCGGAGGTCATGCCAATCTCAGGCTTCCACTGCGAGAAGACAAGTGCGTGGCCCGGCGCCTCAATCTCAGGCAGGATAGTTACACCCCTGGCGGCGCATCTTGTCTGAATGTCATCCCAAACCTCGCGCGTGTATGACTCGTTCTGGCGTCTGTTGAGGCCCTCGACTCTAGGGTCGTCGGAGAAGAGACGAAACGCTGCATACAGGTCCATCTGGCGTTCGTACGAGTATATCACAGCATTGTTGTAGAGATTGTCACTTAGATGGGCCTGGAGAGTGTTCTGCTTGAAGAAGGACATGTACGAGCACATCTCAATCAAGAAGTCGGCCGGGAACCAGTGTCTGGCCATATCAAGCTGTACCAGACTCTCAGCAACCTTGCGAGGTACACTTACTTCAGGGACTGTGCCAACTCACCATCATGCCTCTTTCGTGCCATCCGGGCGCATCATGAGCCTGGCCGAGGGGCAGAGCTCCTTTGTGCAGCAGCAGCTGCTGCACGATGGTGCGAGTGCCCCACCAGACGCCGAGCGGGCTCGCGCCCGTAATGGTGATACCCTCCTCTGCAGCAATCTCGAGCGAATAGCCCTCCGAAGTCTGGCGGCCGGCCACATCTAGATAGTCACTCTTGTCCCCAAGCGTCAGGAAAATGGCATTGGCGCCAGCCGATGCAGCCGAACCGACTTTCACAGCGACCTTGAAATCAAGCACCGACACCAGGTCCTCCGCAAAGGTTCCTGCAAAGTCGAGGAGCGTTGGCGGAATCAAGGTCAGGCCGTCGGTGTCGACGGCATCGGCGTTCTTCTCGTCAACGATGATAGTGGCGATTGTCGAAAAATCAAGACTACCATCACTCGAGAGCTCAAAGGACACAGTCGGGATGCCGGCGTGGGTGGTTGCCGAAGCAGCACTGGCAAGTGCCACGGCAGATATCAAAAACGGCAGCATCTTGAAGAGTTGGTTGAATCTGGGGCTGCTTCAGCCGGACCTCCGCAGCTCCCCAGACAGCTGGGCTGCATCGCCTCTATTATAAGATACACATTGACTACCTCATTGCAACCTCTTTTCATCCACCTTAACAACGGTTGATTCGGTTTCGCATGCGATTCAGCAACACAGCATCGCTGAGAGCTTCTCCTCAGTACACAAGCGGGGCACACGACGTAGCGATGCGGGGTCGACGATGCAATCAATCTTGCTCGGCCCGGCAGGACTCATATCCAGCCCGCCAACAGACACTTGAGATCCCCCCTTCGCCCTCTTAGCCGACATACGCTTCCGAAAGTCAATTGCCATGGTAACGTTGCACCGGGATGCTCAATGGACGGAAAAGAAACGGTCTTCAGCGCAGGGATGTCTTCCCTTCCAGGAGCATGGGTCCGGCGCCGGACAGCGGGGGAAGATCGGCGGTCGTATTGGGGCCGCGATAACATGCGCCGAGATGGCCTTCCCCTCATCGGACGACAAGAGTATGTACGGTTCCTCACCCGTGCGGGTATTTGCTTCAGTCCCACCCGATGACCTAGTTCAGGACATCGGTTTTAGGGCGTGTATCATTGGCGAAGAAAGAGCCTGGGATAGAACGCGTTTGCCCCAGCTTTCCTACCACCTACCGGAGTCGGTCCAGTTAGTAAGTCAACTCTCGGGGAAGGCCTGGCTGCGTCATCGGGTATCGAAATCTGCGGGGATTGGGATCGCTCTTGGTATATGGGAGGTCACGTTGTTCCCTGACGATCATGGTATCGCTCAGTAACGTCACCTGTCGAGATGTCGATACCATGAGCATGACGCAAGCTTTGAACTCACTGGGCCGCGAATCTCTGATCGTCCATTCTTTCACATCATCACAACTGGATTCAGATGGTTGTAGTTGTGCTTTTATTGCGTTTGAGCTTGCTGAGCGCCTATCGGTCAGACTGACAGTGGAGCATCAAATGCGTGAGCTACGGCCTCATCATTTCGAATATCATTCAAGGCCAGTGGTGCGTGATTCAGTATACTGCTGCGGCTTTGGTTCCTGAGCATCTATTCAGCATCAGGCCAACCTCTTGCTGCGAATCAAAGAAGAGAGGATTAGCATCCGAACTCTCATCAAATCTTCGAGGCAGAATACCTCACTGCAGGCACGCCAGGTACGCTGCAGTATACCCAACCCTCGTGGTGCGATAACCATCCATTTATTGAGTGGGCTCGCTTCTGGGTCTTCGCAGCGCGGGCCTTGGCTCATACCATGGGGTCTCAGTTGCAATAAGAAACATTGGCGCGCACGGCACAGTCACAACACCAGACAATGACCGACAGCGGGACTGGTATAGACGTGGATGATATACAATTTCTCTCATGTCATGCTGTGACACCTGTGTCAGCGTCACCAAGTTACAATCTGGCTGGCATGGAAAAGTAGACAAGGCTTGGAAGGTGTCCCTGCGTGTGATCTTGACGACATCGCAGGTTCCCAGAGAAAGAGTACCAGACATGCGCATCTAGTGACAGGCTAGTGCACGTCCATCCGAGTGCAGGGCATCTGCCTACGTGCAAGGATGGATTGGTGCTCTACATGTACCTAGAACCAGGGGCAGGGTCGCTTATGACTTTCTTCAGTCAATTCGCTAGCGGTTCCTGGGCCTGGACTCTTCGGGTAGCCTCACGACCACCAACATCGTGGAAGTGAACGCGGGGAAAGCCTCCTCTTGGACGGTGTCCCATTGCCCATCAAGATCTTCGCTCCGGCGCCTAACACGGAGACGAATTTGTTGCATTGTGAAAGGTGCGCGATGACAGACTGGTGCGACTCGGCGGTTTTTGCCTGACAGACTGACCAACATGCTGGCTGCATGGTCTGCCGTCTCTCGCGCATTACGGCGGACCCTCTCGCACTGTCGCTATCTGGACAATCATACTTTGAATTTCCACCAAGCCGCAGAATCATAACCCTTCGTCGTGATTTTCATCTGTATCGGAGGCTTGATCGAGGCGGTGAAGTGGTCATCGACGCCAGCGGAGACAGTCTCGGTTAGGCGGACGATGGATCGCTCGCCATGAGGAAGCTGAATTGCCGCGATAAAAATGGATCCTGGGTAGCACATAGATCGCACATCATCTGGCGACACACCCATCCGATCAGAGGTTACCGGAGAACGTGGCTGGGACACATGTCGGATCGCCTCTGCCATCCATTTCAGGAACCAGACGCCACAGACGAGGCACCAAAACGAGACTGAGGAGGATCACCAAAGCCACATGCACCCGCCCCCAGTTCCACCAAGCACTCCCCCATGATGGACCTATGCCCAAATGCGGCAGCATTTCCTGTCCAGTTTGGAGCCTGACCGAGACATACGCAACTTGGTTCGCATCACACCCTCTCAAGCCTCGATTTATACACCCGCATATCTATCTTGAGCTCGACCGGCCTCATAGCTTTTCTCTAATGAACGACCCGACCGACAACTAGGTACCTGACCTTTCCTTATCCCCACCCCGCGCCTGTCTGCCCCATTGCCTTCCGCTTACGGTACACAGCCCCGCCTACCGCGCCAAGCAGCCGCGTCTACGCGGGCCACTCGTCCACTCACGCCACGCCCCAAGACACCCTCGTCGCCCCCCAAAAATAGGCATACGCTAGAACACCCGCGGCAACGCGGCTCGGGGGCACGGATCTCAGACACCATCGTGCGCTGCCTTGGAAGGTGGGGTTGGCCCCTCAGTCAGAACCCATTCAACCACCCAACCACCCCATCCCATCCATCCATCCATCCACTACCCATGTGCATCACTTCCCCCCCCCCTTGCTCTGTGTCCGTTGCTCGGCCGAAGGAGAGACAAGGGGGAGGAAGCGAAGCAGGGAAGAAACCAAAGAAAAAAAAAAGACAGACATTCGTCACGCCTGTTTCTCCCGCCCGCATTTAGATTAGGTGACAGCTGACAAGCCCTTCTCGTCGGGAACGCTAAACCGCTTTGCACCCTCGGTCAGAGAACCGGGGCGCTCGAAAGAGCAAAAGCTGCTGTGAAGTGCAACGACTACGCATCTTGGACATGTCTCAACTCACTCACACACACACACGTACACGCAGCGAATGACAGCAATCGCTAAGTTTGGCGAATGTTTGCCTTCCTGCCTCCCGCTTCCCGCCCACCCAGAGTTCGTCTTGACGATCGGGCATCATCCGTCTGGAGACCTGGTCCGCTCACGTCCTCTCCCATCCCCCGGCGGGGGGGGGGGCCAAGAATCAAAATACCGTCGTGGGAGTTTCGAGGCCCCCTCTAATGGACCCGTGCTAGCGAGTGCGATGTTGATCAGGAAAGTGGACAGTGGACAAGAGAAATGCCCCTCCCAGGGCCGGAAGAACGGCCCTCTTCCTTCGAGATCGCCGAGCTCCACCTCATTGGACCCCAGTCCCGGGTCGGCGACCGTTGCCAAGTAGGGCACGACCTACAGGTTGCGGCCCGGAAGGAGCCGAGTCTGCCTGGCCGTCACCACATGCCATTGATTGGCGGGACTCGCCAGTCTGGACAACCCAAAAGAAATCACATGTCGCCGTTGACTCACAACACATACACGAGGTCAAAGTAGTGCAGCCAATTGTGTGGGAGGAGAAACAGAACGCTGTGTTTTGAGAGAAGAGTATCACCATGTCTATCGCCCAGGCCATCTAGTATCGCTGTCTTGAGTCGCTATGCGCCAATCCTCCCGCCCTACACCAGCTCCAATTTCTGCAGGATGATGGCCAAACCGAAGCCGGCCCCGAGGCTTTTCCCGCCCTGCACTTCCTCCTGCACATGGCAGGATGAGTGAAGATTCGACAATGCCGGATTGCGTCGTCTTGATTGGAGAAAAAGGGAGAGATCCAGAAACCCCCAACAGAAAGGAAAATGAGTCAGAAAGCATTGACCGACTGAGAAGGTCGCTGCGGATGCGTCCTGCGAAGCAAACCGGTTGCTACCGATGACCGACAAAGCAGATTGTGTGACCCCCTCCTCCGGTTCGTTGCAATCCCTGCTGCCAGAACAGAGTCGACTCTGGGACTTGCCCTTTGAGGTAGTACATGCCTGATGCAAAGTGAGAAGAGAGCAACATCAAGAGAAAGAACATACGGAATGAAAATGATTGAAAAGCAGGAAAACGAAAACAGAAAACTTGAAAAATCATCAGGAAGCCGTGGCCCACAACGCTCGTGCCGCTCATTACCAAAGCATGTCCAAAACGCCAGACGATCCCCTTCGTCCTGCCCAATGCACCAACCCCCTTACAATACAGGCCCGTGTCGGCAAGAAGCCGAAGCATGTTGGCAGAAGGCCGAAACATACGCGGAGAAGAAAATAAGAAAACGGGCTGCGAAGCCGGATATATGAAGGGCATTGAAGGGTCGAGGACCGAAAACAACCGCAAAACGCACACGGGCTCGCCCCCAGTTGTGATTCGCCCCAGAGACAATCGTTGACGGAAAACCGATGCGAGCAACAAACTCCAATAAATCAAATCCTTTCGATCCAATCGGAAGGAGAGCAGAAACCCAAGCACATGCCAAACGCCTTGCAAAAGAGGGGAAGAGGTGGGTACCGAGCAGAAGCAACTGTCCGTGTTTCGTCGTTGAGTGGTGTAGGGAGGCCGTGATCGAGTGACATGTCGTGTATATTCCCTTCTGTCTTTGGTGTTTTCGTTGCTTAGTCCATGGCGGGTCGTTGTTTAGAAAGGTACGGGACGAGATCGCCGCCGGCTTTGGGTCTGGTCACTCGATGCTGCCATGAGGTCTTGAGTGATCCTGGGTGGGGCAGATGCCGAAAGCGACCTGTCGAAGCCTTCGAAGAGGAGAGAAAGCTGGGATGGCGGCGGCGCAAGGGTGTGGGAAGCAGATCTCCGTCGGAACGAGTTGAGAAACGCAGCCCAGCCCTCGAGCTTGAACTTGTCCAGCTTAGGAGAGTGCCAGGAGGAGCAGCCCGTCACCAAAGACAGCACTTTTCATCGGTAGTGGTGGGAGCTTCGAGATGAGCGGCTGCTGTGGTAGCCCGAATCGGAGTATGTGTACGGCGAGGACTGCTGCCGAGCGCTCTGCGTATGCGCACTGCAAGCGTAACCGACGAATATCGTCCGCTGCTGGATGCTGTGGCCGGGGCGTCCATAGCCGGCGCATCGGTCGACAGCGTGCTGGTAGTAGAGACAACGGCATGCCGAGTACAGCTCAACCAATTGGTAACACATGGTGATGTCTGGGACTTGAGGACACGAATTCGAGTGACAGAGTAATCTCTGGAGGCTTTGTAAGGTGTTGTGGAAAGAGGAGGAGAGCCTTCACTGGATGAATTGGGAAGACGAGCGATGGTATGGGCTACGTACGCCGGGGGATGGTGGTTGTGGATGAAAGTGAACGGAAAGGAAACCAGAAAGGAAAGAGATATGCTTTTGAGTGATGTGATGCGAGAGACAAGACAACAGGCAGATATGGGACCAGGAAGGCATCGCGGCCTTATAGACCTGGCAGCCTGGTATGGATGGTGGCTCGTCATACTTGGGACGAGTGTGGTTCGGGGCCTGTCAAGGCAGCAGTGACCCTGGGCGCGGCAGCGGCATGCGATGCCATCTGACTGAGATCCAGTGACTGGGACTAGGCGACCAGGAAGGAGTGCCCGCGTCTGAGCTGCATACCGTCTGCCGCGCAAGGTACCTGGATGACATTATGGCGCAGGACCCCCAGGAGGCTGCCTTGCCTCGCCCGGACTTGGGCTTGGGCCATGGGAGTTTGGAAGGGGGGAACCTACGATCGCTGTGGCTAAGGCGCAGCAGCAGCAGCGGTAGCGGCGACGAAGAAGGAACAGAAGGTGAGAAATTGAGGCCATGGGGTGTGGATAACACTACAAAGGGCTGGGTTGGAGGGGCGTGGCATGCCTGTGGGCAGGTACGGTAGGGGGGTGGAGATCACCCACTGGGGGGGGGGGGCAGCAAGAGTGTGTGTGTGGTGGTACCGATGTCTTGTAAGTGCCCACGGTTCGGCCAGACGAGTCACCCATGGATTTTTGGGGGCCAATTTTGGGAAATGGAAATTACCCTGGCCGACCCCCAGAGCACGCCAGGATGACCGCCATTCGCCGATGAGCTGCAGCAGGGCTGACGCGATGCGATGTGATGCGATGCTGTGTGCCTGGAGCCTGGGGTCTGGGACGCTTTCAACGTGTGGACGTGGTACGAAGACGACTGGAATAGGTAGGATATGCAGAGACGGACGCTCAGTCAGCCAGTCGTTATTCCTAATTTGAGGCAGTCACGGTGCGGCACTGCTTTGGCTGTGTTGCTTGGTGCTCCGGATAGCTCGAGTTTCCATCGAGATCCCATCGCACGCCGGCGACTCGGAGGAACAAGGATACGGCGGCGAGCGGGTTATTACGCAACTTGGTTGCAACGATTCCAATTCTTGATAGTGATGGGGGCAACTGTCAGGAGCTCTCTTCTCCATCGTTCAATCGCGCATATGGTGCAGTGGTGCAGCCAGGTAGGGGCTCCAAAATGGAAAAGCGCCTGCAGCCGACAGTGGGCTCACATGGTCAGAGCATGTCCGCTAGAGCCAGAACGGTGAGCCTGCTCCGATAGGGTTCTAAAAACGGCTGCTGCTGCTGCAATGCTGTGTACATAGTAGTATGGACATTGTGGATTTTCGGAAGCAGTCTGCAGGCATCGGCAGCATGCTCGCAGACGGGGCGGGCACGCGAAGAAATCGAGCAGGCAAGGTTCTTCCATCAGAATTTCATGCCGAGCTCCCGCCCAATTGGGGCATGCTTGTCGTACAAGTGCGAGCTGCAGTTTCGGTATTCAAAGCCCATGCCATGATCCTCCCAGCCGGCTTCCGCAGTGAGGAAGGTCGACGGCGGGCCTGCGTACATGACATGTGTTCTCATATGATCAGAACGTTTATATTTCATCCAGACTTGCCTGTCAACGTTTGCTTGAGCACCAAGTGTTCGCGGTGGCTGTCCGACCTGACGAGACGCCGTGCGCGACGGTTGAGATCTAACGAAGACATGTATCGAGAGGGCAATCAAGCGTACCATCTCCACCAAAGGTGACCGGCCTGGTGCCGTCCGCCCTAAGCAGCAGCCTCCGTTACTGGTCGCCCACTGTGGGAGGACCTGACTCGCCTTACCTAAGGCGGAAGGCACGGTAACGTAGGTAAGGTACCTTACCTTAGGTAGGTAAGGGAAGGCGAGGTGAGGTGAGGTGAGGTGGATAGGTCCCTGTAGTTTGGTTTCTCTTCAACGGGGATCTGCGGTGCTGGCTGGGTATTCATGCAGTCCATTGGTCGCAGTACGGTCCCCCACCATACACCTCGCAGTACGATCATTTGCGTTTCGCGACGCCAGGTCGTTGCCTGAGATGAAGCCAAGCTTCTCTGTTCTTGAACATCTTGTCAAAAGGAGGAAGCTGCATCGAGAACGATCTCATCGAAGGGAGCACGCCGTAGGATACCCAATGCGGGACGATAGGCGAATTGAGACAAGGGCGGGTTCGGGCTTCCCTTCCGTCAGGCTTTCCCTTGCTTCAAAGGACAGTGGTAAACGGAGATGACAAAGGTACAAGCCGATACCAACATTTCGATGAGCACCTACTTGACAGTGTAGGTGGGTATTCTGCGGCTCGCGGTAACACGACCGTTGTTGTCGACCAAAAGACTTTTTTTCATTCCGGGTTGACGATATCTCATGAAACCCCGGCCGCGAGGCCTCACAATTGAGCTGAAGAGGTCATGTCTGGGGTGCCATGCAATGGAGTGTAGAAAACAGGTATGGTGCAGGAGCTTAAGCACAGCGTTCCTGGATGGGCCAGGTAAAGTTGAGGCCCTCAACCTAGGTAGGTAAGGAACCCCACCAGGCTTTGCCTGATGGCGACAGGACTGATTCCTGATTCACGTGCTGCAGCTGTTTCTTCTTCGCTGGGACCCGCCCGCCTGCCTGCCTGCCTGCCTGCCTGGAGCTCCCCCTCCCTGATGCATCATGTTCTTTCCGAGGCGGGCTTTCCACTGTACCCAGGAAGCAACCACCATGCAGGTGTTGAACATGTTCCAGGTGCTGCAAGCGTGTGACCGTTTACGCCGCCTTTCAGGGCAGGCACAACTGTAGGACCGTCGACTACCTACCTGCTGCCTGCTGCCTGGGTATCAGCGTTCCCTTCTTTCAGAGGCGAGGGACTTGCATATTGCATGCTAAAATAATACAGCACTAGACAATCAAACCGTCAGCGATGACTTTGGCCTCTGTACTTCTGTGCCTCTGCACCAGCCTCTGCACCAGCCTCTGCACCAGCATCTGCATCAGCATCTGCACCTCTTCCGTCAGCATCCTACCCAGACTATTCACACCCCCTTCCCTCCTCTCCCATTGAGTCGAGCCAACGGCTTGGTCACCGATGCATCGTGAGAATTCTACTTCGGTGTCCATGTCCCAACGAATGAGATGGCCAAATCCGTGCCGTCGGCACCTCATCACCCCCGGGGGCGGAGACGGACCATTTCTCACAGCATCTTCCTCTGACATTGTTGCGGACCCGATCTGAGACCCAAGCAGGCCGATCGCACAAGGACCAACAACAGCATCTGCCGGCCACACCATCCAGCCACGCATGCAGTGCAACCCTTCAAGCAGTCCCGGCAGCCTGTTGCCTTAACCACCAGGTCTTCATCGCACCGAACTCGAACAGCCATCGAAACATGTTGTTACTGGCGGTTGAAGAGTCATCGGAAAAAGAGAACGAGTCCCTTCCAGACCACACCACACCTCGCCAGCGACAGCGGCCGACCCCGCCATTCTGTGTCCGTGTGACAGTAGCCTGCAGGCATGCCGACGTCAATCGGTCACCTCGTCACACATCTTGTTCGAATTCTATTTTTCGGTGTCGCTTAAAAAGGAACCATGCTTTGTACGCGGCATGGTAAAGCGCCTCAATCTCGGTCGACACCGATCAGTCGATATCATCAAACAAGACTTCGTACATCAACAGTACAGAGGCAAGAGAGGCCATGCTCATCAGCCTTGCCTAGCATACGAACCAATCACCGCCAGACGCAGGGGTATTTCCGAGGCCTGCCCGAAGTCCTCTGGAACCGCAAGCGATTGGTCGGCGAGCGAGACATTTGTCTTCGATCTGACCCTGATGTCATTGGATACCCCATGATCCAGGGTCCCGCCACCCCTGTCACGGCTACACAGCCTCAAGCTTGACCGTCAGCAAGGGACGGCTTGTTCACAGACCGAACCATGTCGCTAGATCCTCGCTCTCCCGTCCTTTCCCCATCTGCCCCGTCCCCTCATCAGCCCGGAGTCGCCGGCCAGTCAGTAGAGAGACCCGTCTGCAGCTTTCCCCCAAGTTTGCCCACGCCCGCGCCGGCCGCTCTGCTCATCTGATTGCCGCCTTCGTTTCGGGCCTACCTCAAACCTCCAGGCAACAGCCAGTATCTGCCAGTAGGGTTTGATACAGCATCGCGTCTTGCTTCTGGATGTGGACAAGAAGCCTCATTGAGTGCTGGCTTTCCCTACTTAGAACCAGCTGCATGGTTGCCTTCAAAGGTCGCCAGAATCTGACAAGATGTGCACTGGGAAGGAATCGGCCACCCACCCAGCCACACCCGCGGCTTCGGGTGCCCTCGTCGTTAAGGAACTGGCTGGTGCTGATCGTGCATGCTCTTGCTCGAAGGCAAAAACCTGTGGCTGAACCCAGCAATTGAGCCTCGCTGTTCTCATGTCGGCTGACGGGCCTCCTTCACGGGTTGTGTTGCCTCCAGTGCTGAGCCTCACTACGTATAGACAAAAGACACACCCACTTCACAACCATAGGCCGTGGTCCATATGACAAGAAGTCGATGGCCTTGACGCCACAGCGCCAAAATCATGGCGCCCTTTGAGAACTACGCTCTCCTGCACATATACCCGGCGGCCTACTCAAGTTCTGCTGACTGCCTGTGGCCTGCATGATCAATCACCGCATACCCCCCTCCCCTGGACTAACGCTTATTTTGTGAGCCCCATGTTGTACCTACCAGGATCTCCAGACCGCAAACAACCTCTTGCCGAAGATGCATCGAGTCATGGCCCGAGTGTGGAGGCACCATGCCGCCAAGTGCCCCTGTATGCCATGCTAGGCAAGCATCCGTCTTACTTGCCTTGGTCTCCTTCACCCCTTGGGTTCCTATCATATCCTCTGCTCGCGGCTGTTTCGCGTGGGAGCCCTCCCGTCAGACGCCAGTATCGACATCACGGCTAAGATAGGCGGGGACTTCAGCCGCGGCTGTCGCTTAACTCGTCCTTACTCATGACGACGTCCACCCCCCCTTTTCGGATGCAGGGTCCAAATAATCGTACGTGAGATGGAGACGGACAAGACGTCGACAGTGGGAATATTCTAGCGTCATCAAGCCTAATCAAGTCGAGACAAGTTTAGAGGATTCGTCTATCCCGAAGTCCTTGCATATTCAGGACCGTAGTTTTGTCTGTGTTCCAAGACTGGTGCTTCGGCATAGCATGTGATAGCACACGCAAAAAATGTTTGCCCAAGATTGTGTGAGCAGTGTTTCGGCGAGGACACGCGAGGGCACGCACTTGGAAGGGCACCGCCTTTGGTTATACGAAGCAGTCATCTCAGCCAGGCATATACTGTCCCCAGTAAGGCAAAGAGCAATCAGAATGACAGCTGCTGAACACTTACCGTTCACCAGTCTCCTGCCTCTAACCCACCTGCCTTTTTTGCACCGTCATCCATCGACTCGCTCTGTATGAAACGTCCTCATCATCTTTTCCCTTTTTTTTACGACCAAGAAGGAGAGTGTAGAACTCGTCAAGACCGGTGAAGATGACATGGACCATCGGCCCGATGTGTTCGCCTGTCGAACGTGGCACGGTCGCTAGATGAGCCTCATCCCCTTTTGCTTTTCCGAGCCCAGATGCCGTGCCACCGAGGGGGAGTTCTCATACGCCCCCGCCCCCCCCCGTCCGAGTCCGGCAACACAAAGGGATACCTGTCTCGCGGATCGGTGGACGGGTAAGGCTGAATGCCACCTCGTTGGAAGGATGAGTCCAACAAGGAAGAAAAAAATTAGAGAGGGACGCTAATCTTTTCCGGATCAGAGTACATCGCCTGGTGCGACGGCGGCCATGAATAGACCGAATCGGTACCCGACTGGGACGAGGAAGCGGTCGCAACGTGGACACAAGAGATGGTTCCAGAACCGGTAACAAGTCGCCATGCGCACGAGTGAACGACAGCAAGCTCACGGCTACAAACCACGCTCCCCTTTCAATCGCTGCCTGCCAGCCAGCCATATGGCTCCCACAGCTTCGTCCGAGATGAGCACGCACGGCAACGGAACACCTGCAGCGAAACGTCTCATCGATCCCCACGTTTCCAGTCTTTGTCTTTTGAGAAAAAAAAAAAGGCATCAATGAACCTCATCGTCACATTAGATAATGGTATACACAAAGGCCCTCTCCTTTCCTCCTCTATAGCAACGGCAGAATCCTCGCAATCCTGAAGTTTCCCCAGCGACCGTCCGTCAGACGACCAGATGGTATGCTGCACCACCTTCCGAGAAAAAGGGCCAGCCACACACATTCAACGTCCGAGACAAACCCACATATATATAGGCCCAACCGATGCAGAGGGAGAAAAGAAAATGGTATTGTAGAGAAGCATGAAGAAAGACAGCGGAACCTCAGCAGGCAGGCAACATCAGAGTGCCTCGGCCATTCATGCCGTTTGCCACGCTCATCATCAATGGCGGGAGAGGATGAAAAAAAAAGAGTAAAAAGGGGCAAGGGGCTATCGTTCCCTTCCCTTGCAGGAGGACCCCTGTCCTTCGTCCGCTGCCCCTCTCCTCCATTTAGAGCGGCGACAGCATCGTAGTGTATCGTGGTTTATGGGTAATTCGTGAGAGCGCGTGGGTGTACAATCCGTCTTGGTTTGAAAATTCAATGGTGTTCATTATGGTTGCGGTAGTGCGAACCGCTTTGTTTGTCTACTCCTGGCTCTTTCGAGTAGCCGTAGTCTGTCTCGAGTGTGGTCGCGTCGTTCCAGCGGTGCTGGAATCCCCCTCAGCCACGCCAAGCCATGCGAGAACCATGCTCTATCTTCGCGTCATGGCTGCAGCGGCTCCGGCGGAGGCGAGATCCTGCTTGGCACTGACGCTCCTTCCTGCCGCCCTCGGCAGGTTGCTCGCGCCAGTCGATATGCTCCCCGTGCCGGTGCTCGTCCGCTTGATAGCCGCCACATGCACGGCGCCTGTAGCCCCAGAGGTCCGGCGAACCGGGCCTGACACGGGCTTGTGCGGGCTGACACCAGTGGCCTCACGAGCCCGCAGCGTCGGTCCGCCTTTGATGCCGAGTCCAGGAGGCTCGGGAAGCGGCCTAGGGGCCGATGCCGTGTTGTGGCGCTTGGCCGGAGAGGCGTCGCGCGCGGGTATCCGTGGGGCCGGTGCGGTAGCCTTCCTGCCCGTGATGAACTCGTGATAGATGGCGTCTTCAGGTTTCAAGCGACGGTCAGGATCCCACCGCAGACACCTTGTCAAAAAGTCGAGGAACGGTTCGTCGTCGCACTTGATGGCTTGTTGCAGCGTCTTTGACGAGGGACGGCGTCTCCGGCCCTTGGACGACACCGTGAGGCGAGGCTTGCCCATGGAGTCAAAGAACAACTTCTTCCTGGTGCTCTTCTCGATCAGGTGCTTCTCTGGTGGGCCAAACACTTCCATGATGCATGCCAGTTGTTCTTGCTCGTTCTCACCGGGGAAGATGGGAACACCAGTGTACAGCTCCGCCAGAATACAGCCGACGCTCCACATGTCGATGGGCATGCCGTATGTCATGCCGAGAATGACCTCGGGGGATCGGTAGAAGCGCGACTGGATGTAGGTGTAGACCTTTTCGTTTTCGAAACAGCTGGAGCCGAAATCGATGACCTTGAGTTCCGTGTGGAGAGGGTGACGCAGGAGGATGTTCTCGGGCTTCAAGTCGCAGTGGATGACCTTGTGCTGCTTCAGCATGACCAGAGAGCTCAGCATCTGTTTGGTGAAGCGCCGGATCATCTTGAGAGAGAAGCCGCGGAAGGCATTGACCTTGATGAACTCATAGAGGTTCATGTCCAAGAGCTCGGTGGAGATGCAGAGGTGTCCTCGGAAGTAGAAGCTGTGGGTAAAGTTGACCATGCTGTGCTTGTTCTTGGGGTCCTTGACGCACGTGTTAGTTTGATGGTAATTCATGTCAACAGCCGGACGAGAAAGAAGACGTACCCATTCGCGAAGCTTTTGCAGTATGTTAACTTCGACGAGAGCTTGTTGATGGAACCTCTTCTTGTTGCGGATGATCTTGACGGCCACCAGAACACCCGTCTTGTGGTCAATACACCTGACGACCTGTCCGAAACTTCCCTTGCCCAGGACATCAATGATCTCGTACCGGAATGCGAGGTGGTCGCCAGGGACAATGGTGTAATCGCCCCGTTCGTCGTCATAGCCAAAGTTGGGCTTGTCGGACTGCAGGTCGCCCACCACTTTCTGCGCGTTCTGCGTCCCGCAAAAGTAAACATCGCTGTAGTCAATTATCTCACCCCGCTCATAGAGATTCAGCATGGCTATCCTGATGGCCTCATGAGGCCCGACCCTCTCCTTGGGCGTGGCGCGCTTCTTGAGTGCGTCAAGCGTCCGGGCGGCAATCTCGGTTTCCTTCCTCCTCGAACCCAACTTTCGAATTTCCTCTTCTGCGATCAAGTCGTCCTTGTCGAGATCTGCGGTCCATGGATCGTTGGCCCGCATGGTGGCGGCAGAAGCCTTGGGCCTGAGGATCTTCTGCATTACCGACGCATTGCGAGGCATTGGTTGGGTACGTTCTTTCGGCGTATCGCTGGACGATTCCTTCCTAGGGGTGCTCGTGCCAGTCTGGGCCCAGTTGTCGCTCTTGGTCCGGTCGTGCCCAAAAGTCTGCAGGCTAGATGCTGAGCTCTTCCGACGCCGGCTTTCGAGGTAGGTGCCAGTGGACTTGGGGGTTCCGACGTTGGGGCTCGACGTGTTGACGACGCTGCCGAGGTTGCCGACAGTGGCAGAGATGGGGATCCGCGGCGGGGGCATGCTGTCTTGTCGCACGCTTGGCTCTGTCGGCTTGGCCATCGTAGCTGCAGGTTGGGCGGTCCCGTTCTTGGAGGCACTTCGCTTCCACGATAGACTGAGTTTCCGGCGGAGCGAGCTCATGGAGGAAGGTGTGGGAGGTTCCTCGGGGTCGGAACTTGGTACGGGTGACTTAGGCTTGGCCGCCTTGACTGGCTTTTGCGGGCGTGGGCCCGAAGGTTTGCGCTGGGGGCTCGCCTCAGGAATGGGTTCAGTGAGGTTGCCGATATCGCCCGTCTTTGGTCTCGTGATGAACGCAGCGTCGGGGTCGTTCTTGGGCACAGACGATGACAAGAACGGCGACATGCTAGGCTTGCGACGCGTCTTCTTGGTCATGCCCATCAGAGACTCGGAAGAGCTCCCTCCATCGGCACCGGACGCACTGTCGAGTCGGCTGTGATTCACCGTGCTACTGCTGCGAAGGTTCGGGAGATCAATCTTCTCGTCATTGTGGTTGCGCGAGAAGAAGCTGCTCTTCGAGGCCGTCATGGGCGTCGATGGCGTCTTGGCGAGGATGCGCGAGGGGGGAGGGCTCAGATTCCTGTCGGAATGCCCCGCCTGCAGAGCTGCTACTTTAGCGGCAGTGGAAGGATTCAGAGGGCCGACCGTGATGGGCGGAAGGCGCATGCCCGGGGGATTCCTCTTGGTGACGGGTGGATTCGCCTTTTTGTCTCCCTCGACGGGTATGGCAGCCGTCGATTTTCGTGTGCTGGCTTTCCGTCCTACCTTGTTGATGGGCTCCAGCGCAGGGGGAATAGAGAAGCTGCCAGTAGAGTTGCTATGAATACTGCTGGCATCGGCTGCCAGATTGGCCCTTCTCTTGTCCATGAAGGACATGTCGACGGTTGATTCTTTGGGGGACTCGTACGCTTTCGGGATGGCGGGAACCGGGGGCACGTCTTCAGCATCCTCACCGGCATTGTTGCCGTGAGAGTGAGACGTCAATGACTTGGGTGCTGGCAGGCGTGATGTAGACCCCGACTGTGGGATGCGTGGCTGAATCGAGCCAGTCGATGTCCTGACAGTGTTGAAGCTGTTCGATGAACCAATCGACAGGCCGGAGCTGTACGACTTTCTATTGATATCGGGCGTCGTTCGCGACGATGACGGAGTGGCCGAAGCCTTTCGGGGGATCATGGAGGGCGATCTCGAGTGCTCGCGCGGCTCCAGAGGCGGCGGAGGGGGTGCATCGGCGATGTGGTTTAGGCTCTGAGGCTGATGCGTCGAGAGACGCTTCATTCGCCGGGTGTCAGTAGGACTAATGGTCCGGGCGCCGAGGCCGGTAGCATGCGATGAGTGAGGCATGCCGGGCATGATAGAGGCACGCTTCTGGCTCGCCGTAGACTGCGCGGAGCCGGTGGCAATG